GGGCTTGTGAAGAAGCAGGTGGGCCTGTGGGGCTGCAGCAGGTAGAAGCCAGCGGGGGTGTGGGGGCTGGCCAGCTTGACAGGAGCGGAGTATGTCTGGGCAGCCTAGCTGAGTCCAGGGATGCGGGCAGGGGGGATGATCACGAGGACAAGGAAAGACCGGCAGGGACACTTATGCCCCTCTGAAGTGACCACACCCCTCTCTGCCCAGCCTGGGCACCTGACCCCACTTGATGCCCCTCCCTGAATCTGGGCATCTTCATCTGCCCCCTACCTGGATGCCTGCCCCCATCTTTTTCTGTGTTTTATTGGGGGGCTCTTACGAATCTTATGACAAGCCGTCATGCAATTGTATTAAGCACACTTGTACATATGTCGCTGTCAACATTTCCAAAACACTTTCTTTCTAGTTGAACCCTTGGTATCAGCTCCTCTTTTTTCCCCCTACCCTCCCACCCTCATGAATACTTGATCAATTATATATTATTGTTGCTATTTTGTCTTCCACCATCCATTGTCTCCTTCACCCACATTTCTGTTCTTCATCCCCCTGGGGGGTGGGTTATATATCCAACCTTGTGATGGGCTCCCTCTTTCTCCCCCTCCCACTGCTCCCATGTCCCCCATCTTGACATTGGGGTGTCTCCCAGAATCTGATGTCCTGGATGTGTGCCTCCCCAACTTGGACACTTGGACCCTCACCTGGTTGCCTGCCCCTGGGCTGCCCCGATGTCCTGTTACCCCCTGTCCTGGCTCTCCTCTCCTGGCCCCTCCTCGCACCTGTCCTTTCTGACTTGGGCCCTGGCCTGTTGCCTCCCTCCAGGGCAGACAGGAAGCACCACTGTTGGTGACCAGTCACGCTAACCCTGTCCAGGGCTGCCCACTTGGAGCAGTGCGTGAGTCCTGCAGAGGGGGGCCAGGGATGTCCCTGGGGGAGGAGCACCTGGGCAGGGCAGCCTGTGTTCTGTGACTCACAGTGTCCCCAGGAAGAGCCTTCCTGAGCGCAGGCCCTGTGGGTGTGAGTGTCTGTCTCCCGAGGCCCGTCTCCGAAGGCACTTGCCTTGTTTGGAAATAAATGCTTCTCTGGCTGCTGAGTTGTCTAAGAGTCAAACAGGCAGGCAGCGGGGCAGTGGGCTGGGTTTGTCAGGGACACTGAGCTTGGGGGCTGCAGCCACCTCTCCTGACCACCCCC